TAAATTGATCTTTAGGATCAATGCATGTTACTGTTTGAAGCAAACATGCCTCTCTGACCTTGTCCACAAGGCCTATTGAAGTTAACTATTGAAATCCAGCTTAATTGATAGCCTGCACTAACTTTATAAGCTTTAATTTGAGGTTAGTGTTTATCAACTGGACTTGCAAAAAAATTAAGATGAAAAAGGCTCAAAACTACGTTCAATAAAGCACAATGAGAAAAGACGAAAACAATTTCATTCTTGTTTTAAAGACTAGGATGTTTTAGTCTTTTTCGATGAGTATTTATTAAAACAATGTAGTTTTTGGATATTTTTGCTCCTAATTTTTTGCAAATACAGCTGATAAACTCTTTTCCCTTTACATTTAGTCTTATGAGGCCATTCAGGGAATTTTACTTCTAGAGGAAATACAAGTATCTTTTACTTGTAACATTCTAAGGGAGTTTTGTTTTTCCTACTTAGGTGGGAAGCTGCTCAGATACCAAATGTGAAGGTTGCAAAGCTTGAAAAGAATAAAATTAAGGAAGAACAAAGCATTTATATGCCCCAGATCCCTGAAATTGCTAGTTGTCCTGAGCATTTGCTGCCATTAAAACAGTGGGAGGTTGCATTTGTTGCTGATTTTTCAGAGCTATGTCGGGTATGTTCTTTTGGTCCCACTTCTTGTTCCATTTGCACTAAAAAACTGAAGTCCATAACAAATTCTGAATCTGAATGAAAGAACTGTTTAGTCGTAAATCTTCAGTAATATCTGAAATTATTGTCATTCAACTAGAATACTATAAACCATTTCTAGGATTATGAAGCTCTTGAGAATTTCATATCCAACATAAACTGTCTTATATGTTTTTTCTCTTGATCTTAGGCTCTTTCATGTTATCTGGACCCAACTACCAAAACTTCTGGTAAACTGCAACAAGTGTTTTTGGAGAATGTTATTGTTGAAAAATTCAACAACCTTAAAACAGAAGAAGTCAGAATGTCAGTTGGTGATGGTTCTGTTGACTACCCAACCTTGTCTGGTATTCAGAAGATGGACTCTGTAGCTCGAGTATCAATGCTGAGGAAACGCATAAGCTTGTTTGAGAGTATGACAACTCTGTCAAGGAGTGATTGTCTGTGGCTGTTTGCTTTATGTGCAGCAATTGATACTCCGTTGGATGCTGACACTTGTGCTTCTCTACGTGGCCTGCTCCGGAAGTGTGCTAGCTTGCGAGCTGGAAAGTCAGAAGTAGATGATGAAGTTGTCATGCTAAATATTCTCGCCACAATTTCAGGCAGGTTTTTTGGACAGTCAGAAAGATGAAGCTGTGAAGCTTACTCTACAATGAAAATTTTCTATTTTGGGTTGCTCAGTGGAGACCGGGGAGGATTGGTGATGTAGGACGATCAAAGGTAAGCAGAGAAGATAGAACCAGAAGCAAGGGTGGGAAGAGAATAGCAGAATTGGGGATTTCTGGAAGACTTTTGCATCAATTGGTGCCTGTTATGGTTGTTCAATTTGATGTAACTCTGTTTTTCATTATGGCGTAATTTTTCTCTCTTTTTTTTTTTTTTTTTTTTGGAAGATAACATGCATATTTAGATTTTTTACTTCACTAGTCTCACTAGTGGTATTTACAAACTTTATGGTTTGTTTACAATATTAAGGCTCCATTTTCAAAGGTATGACCTGTGTTATGTTTTTGGTAACATTATGTCCAAATTTATCTTCTAAAATTTTACCATAATATATAATACGGTGAGCTTAAATCCAACCTTTATTTTCAAACCTTTCATGGTAGAATCAACCGTTTCACAGCATAGATTTTTATGTCTTCTAACTTTTTTTTTTTTTTTTTTTTCTGTTTTTTGGGTACATATTCTGATTGATTAAGCTAAGTAACATTTTCTGGTTCGGAAATGCGTGAGGTTAAAATTTAGCAGCAAAGAGACTCGAAGCCATTAGCAATTGAAAATAAGAATTCAAAGTACACGTTCGTCAGAATTTTGGAAATACATAAAAAATTAAGCTGATGGGAAGAGTTCTAAAAGTTGTGCTGCAAGAACAAGTTTTCTTGAGGAGATGCGGGGACAATCTCTTCCTCCAAACTTCTCAAAGCATCACCAACACTAGCAACATTACCAGCATTTCTTGCTTCTGAGTTTTTACCATCAACATCTGCATCTGAGACTGAGGATTTTCTCCTCTGAGAAGAAGTAACGCTTGGGAAGGTAATCCATGAAGGAGCTCTAAACTCAAACCTTTGATCCTCTGCTTCTGCTATGTCAGTTTCGGAGACTGATCTGTTTGAAGATCTTTGAGAGGATTTCTTGTGCAGTCTGTTGCTTCCTAGAACCACCTCTGTTGGCAATATTGGCTGCTCACTACATGGGCTGCCCATCAACTGCGCAAGAGCACGCTCCAAAGCAGTAGTCACCTTATCCATTGATGGTCTCTCCTTCCCTCTCATTCTCACACATTTGCAAGCAACATTTGCTATCCTTTTCAAGGCATCAAAGTCGGCAGGAGGTTTCAAGACAGGGTCTAGAATTGCTGAAATGTCTCCGGATTTGATCAGAGGAACTGCCCACTCAACTATGTTCCCTTCTTCATACTGCATATCTATGGCCTTTCGACCACTCAAAATTTCCAGTAGTAACACACCAAAGCTGTAGACATCAGATTTGGTAGTGAGGTAGTGAAGCCTGTAATACTCTGGATCAAGATAACCAAGAGTCCCAGCAGGTAGCTCGGCTAAGGGGCAACCACTGTCAGCAGGTCCTAACAAAGATAGGCCAAAATCTGCCACTCTAGCATTGTGTTCTTCATCAATGAGGATGTTTGAAGATTTTATATCCCGATGAATCACAGGTGGGCAAGCATAACCATGCAAGTATTCAATTCCCCGAGCAGCTTGGACTGCAATAGTTACCCTTCGAACCCAATCCATTTGTTCTTTCAAGGCTTTGTTCTTACCATGAAGATGCTGATGCAAAGATCCATGAGCCATGAACTCGTAAACAAGAAGCCTTTCTCCACCTTCTTCACAATAGCCAAGAAGATTGAGTAGATGGGCATGGTTTAGTCTTGATAGTAGATCTAACTCTGTGTGGAACTCTTTTGAATTCTTCTGCTTATCTGAAGACATTATAGCCTTTTTAACAGCAACAACAGTCCCATCCTTCAAAACCCCTTTATAAACACAAGAGAAGCTTCCTTTTCCTACCAAGGATTCTTCTTTGAACCTTCCAGTAGCCCTCTCAAGTTCTTCATAGGTGAACATCTGAGCTCTCCTAATCTTAAGCTCATCCAAGTCAGGACGGATTTTTACATTGTCTTTCGGAAAAGGAGAACCACTCGCATTAACTCTTTTGGCCTTAGACTCTTTTGATGAACAACGGCAGTTCTGTAACTTGTAGCGAACATATAAAACTGCAGTTAAAGATACAACGGTGACCAAGACCACTGCAAAGGCGATCTCTGCAATTATGATTGGCAGCTGCAGTGACCAGAACTTCTCATTCTTTTTCCCATAAGCAGCATTTGAAAATGAAGAACAGTTTGAGAAGCATTTTTCTGAGTAACAACTCGAACAATTATAGTAACAAACCCGATCAGATTTCAATGTGCACTCAGTTTTTGGGTACATCTCTGCAGGGCAGCCATTGCTGCAAGGCAGACAAACATGAGAGTTAGGAGTCTTGCAAGGAGCATTATCAGGGCTAATTTCATAGTAACCCGGTGGACAAGGAGCATTCCTGCAGAGTCCAGGTGACACAGCCAGAGGGAGAGAAGTAGGGAAGCCAAGGCCCCAACAGAAAGGAAGCAAAGATTTCTCAGCTAGAACCCCACAGGTGAAGTAATTCCCAGCTGCAATCTCAAAGACCTTTACTCCACTAGGAGCTGGGGTACTAGGTTTGACAATAAAACCCCAACAAATCACTTCATGATCATAGCTCTTGATTCCACAGGCATGGAACTTCCCTCCCACAACAGAAACCATTGGATCTTTTGGAGGCAAATCAACATTTCCTTCACCAGAATATGCCATTGAGATTTCTTCTTCAAGGTCCAAGCTCCTTCCCCAGCAACAGGTTCTAGAATTCACTCCTTCCAAAATTCCACAAACATGATACCCTCCAGCTGCAATCTTCTGAAACCTCATTTCTTTACGAATAAGGGTGATGACCCGGCTACTAGTCTCGTCACCCCAACAGAAAACAGTCCGATTCTCAGAAAACAATCCACAGTTGAACTCGGAACCAGAGGAGATTGACTGGATCTGCCCATCAAAAATATAGTTCTTGGTCATATTATATCCCCAACAATCAACAAAAGCATGGTTTCTGCGCCTCCCTGTTAAAGGCTTTCTCAAACCGCATAAATGGTAGTCGCCTGCACTAATCTCCAAGTACTCAGCTCCTTTTATCATCGGTTGTGGAACGCCCATTTGTATATAGCCACTGCTTCCCCAACAATAGGGTTGGTTAGAATCCATTAGCAACCCACAAACAAAGCCATCACCAGCAGTTAGACCAATAAAGGGGAAATGAGCAGGAGTTCCATAGATGATTGCAGAATTTGAGCCATAACAGGTCACAAGATGAGAGCCATCAGATTTTAGACCACAGAAAACAGGGCCATTCGCACCATATGAAATCGCAATTGATGACATTGAGCCTAACCCCAAAACCAAGCACCACAAATTTGAGAAAGCCAAAAGCTTTACAATAAATCCAGCTTTCCATTTGCTGCTGTTCAAGACCCAGAAGACCAAATCTCTCAACGCAAAGCTAACAGCCCCCATTCCAGACTACCAACACAACTATTTGAAGATAATGGAATCCACACAACATCAAGAGTATGCACTAATTAAAAGCTGCACTGAAGTTTCATAATGCTCATTATGCATCTGAGTTTGAAGAGCAAAAAGGTCAAACACCATAAAGACAATTTCCATCAACAGAACAGCAGTTTAGGAAGAAGAAGTTTGGTCAAAACATATAAAAAAAAAAAAATACAAAATCTACAACAGAACCCACCCACATCCACCGTTCTTCAGAAGAACAACCTTAAAAATTTATGCTTCTCTCTCCCTTGGAAGTCAAAAAAGGGCTTACCCCTAAAATTTCTTCGAGTTGGGATCATATTTGGACTGACAGATTAGCTTCTGCTCCCCATTCTAGATCAACAGCTAATTCCAGGCAGAGCTGGTTCATTTCTTTCCATAACCGTCTTTTCGAGAATATGTTGTAGACGAAGGGAGTTGAAGAGAATGGAAATCTGTGGACCGTTTATGAAGGTGGTTGTTGTTGTTGCTGGTGCAGGCCAAGAATGTGGAGAAAGAGAGAGTGAGGAGGAGAGAGTGCATTAAATGCTAGCAAAACTGCAACTTCACAAAATGGGGGAGCGTAGTTGAAGGCATTAAATGAGAAGTTAATGCGATTTTGATCTTTTTCATGTCTGGATTACTGCTTTTACCTATTTCGAATTTCTTTTCTCTTTCTGAATTAGCCTGCTTGTTTCCATGCATTTCTTTCTCTTCTTCATGCAAATCTTTGCCGTACCTATAATATTACATAAAGTGTTTTACCGTACAGACTTCAGTATTTTGTATAACTTATTTGTTTAAATTACGATATTTGGAGAAGACAGAGAGTGAGAGAAAAAAGTCTCATTTTTTTATTTAAAAATTATATTTTTTAGTAGAGAAAGAGTGAGGTGGAGCCATCAAAGTCCTGTGACTCCTGTCTTTCATCTTTTCAATTCGAAGGAATTGTCCCAAATTTTACTCGTTCATTATTTTTTTAATTTTTGAAATATATATTATATTTTAATTATTTAGTTAATTAAAAAAATTTAAAATTATATTATATTATATTATTTTAAAACTATTTAATTAAATAAAAATATAATTCTCTTTTCTCCTCTACTTTTGTTTATTGAAACAAATTTAACATTAGTTCTCTTTCCTCCCCTTTTTCTCCATTCTTTTCCTCTTCTCTTCATTTCTTTTATTAATTTTTATTTAAACATATCTTAAATCATAAAATGAGAATACTAACGATTTATTAATCCACATTGAAAGAATTTGATTATTCTTAAATAAAATTTTGAACTTTACTCTTATAAATAGAGAAATATAAAACTTCCTCTTATTAGATTTAGTGTAATTAATTTTAAATTAATTATAATCTAAC